TACAGATTTGCCCTCGCTCGGAGGGACCAAAAGAATAATGCAGTCCGAATAATAAATTGACTATCCTAGCTAATTAATTATTACAGACCCTTAATTAATCAACAAAATAAATGCAGCAAGAAGGTGGCCGCAGCCCTGCCTTGGGATGCGTGAGTGATGCATGCTTGATCCGCCTTGCCCGGAAACTCGCTACCATAGCATTGCTGCCTCTGTTTACACTGCCTAGCTCCTCTGAAAACTGTACAAGTCTCAGGATATGTTCTTTGCACACTGTGGAACACTACCGGCTGGGAGGGATGGCCATCAGCCTCGGAGGATGACCACCGGCCACAGATGAAGTTATCGGTCGTTGATAAATTGTCGGTCGGCACAGTATTTAGCCGACCGGCCAAAGCTCCCTGCAGAACCTGCAATTGGCAGCAGCAGAGGGCAAGCAGTGTATGGCAAGGAATTTCAAGCAAGTGTATGCATGGCCACTCTCCCAATCATGTAATGGACTCAAGGGAGTGTGCCCCTCGACCCTCGGGCCACTAATCACGCATTTCAATGCATGATGGCCAAAGAATCAAGTATGCATTTCAATGTCAAATGCAATACACACAAAACATACAAGGGACCCAACCTCAATCATGGTTGATCAAGAGGCGAGGCAATGCACAACAATGCACATGCGACCTAAGCATGCAAGCAAACATACAAGCATGCAATGCAACTATATGGCACACACAAAAAGTAAATTGAATAAAAATGGAAGTTGAATAAAAATAAAAATGAAAGTGATCAAGAAAAGTGATTTCATGGACTGATATAAAAACAGGTCCGCTCGAGCGTACAACACCCCGCTCGAGCGTCAGACACAGGTTCACGCTCGAGCGTCCAAAGATCCGCGCTCGAGCACATAAACACATAAGCACTTACGAATTTCATTTCCGGATAATGATTGTCCCGAGGCGTTACTAGAGTTCCGGTTAGAAACAGCATTGATCAAGTGCTTTTCCCTAAGAGGTGACACTACACAAATAGGAGATGCTAACTGTGCTAACTTTAATTCCAAAACAGATGCAAATGCAGCAGATTTGGAAAATTTGTGGACTTATGGAATTGTGTTGAGAATAATGAAATTGACTCATTATGTGGTAAAATAGTGGAGTTAGATTTGTTAATCGCTCACTTTTCCACTTCCTTTTTTATTCAAGTTTCTTTTCTAATCAACTTCCTTTTTTATTTAATTTCCAAATAGATCGCCTCGGTTTGCGTGCCCGTGTGCACGCATTTCAAGGCGTCTCATTTTCATTGCATTCATGCATTTTCTCGGTTTGCGTGCCCGTGTGCACGCATTTCGAGGCCTCTAAATACAAGATTACTCATCAATAAACAAGTCCGGATATTTCTCGCGGACTTCCAATTCACGTTCCCAAGTGGCTGTTTTGCGCATCGCACTGTTTTGTGCATTTCAAACCTCGCGCTGTTCTGCGCATCGCACTGTTTTGTGCATTGTATTTCAATCGTGCTGTTTTGCGCATCGCACTGTTTGTTACAAAAATTCTGTAATATGAACTTCCATTTTTATTGAATTTACTTTTCTGTTAAACTTCCTTTTTTATTTAATTTCCAAATATATCGTTAAGGTATAGTGGTACTTTGAATGAACTTCCATTTTTAATCTGTTGATGTGTGATATAACTAGTATGCATATATATTTCGAAATGGGAAAGTGCTTGATATGAGTTATTGCCTCATGTGAGTTGTTTGGCCAGGTTCTGAGCCATGGTTGTAAATTGAGAGTTTAAAGGAATTAGAAAATGGACTATTCTGAGGGTTTTGAGGTCTGCCTTAGCTCAACAATGGCTGTTTTGCTCTCCAAAATATCCTAAGTCTAACCTTGTCTCTCCTTTTTTGCCTTAGAGAGAGCTTCTCTCTCTATATGGAAGTTCAATCAAGAAACCACTATACCTTAACGATCTATTTGGAAATTAAATAAAAAATGAAGTTGAGTAGAAAAGAAACTTGGCAGAGTTTGCAGAATGCCTTAGGCACTAAGTTGACCTTTAGCACGGCTTATCATCCTCAGACTGACGGGCAGTCCGAGCTTACTATTCAGATCCTTGAGGATATGCTCCGGGGTTGTGTTCTAGACTTTAGTGGGTGTTGGAGGAGATAGGGGATGTACTCCACGGTTTAGGGGATACCTTTGACCAAACAATTACGGATCGTACAGCCTTATGATACTTGAATGATGAATACGGTTCATCCCTTGCTTCGCCGATGTCACCAATAGGTTTCCTGCTAAGAGCATCGGCCACCACATTGGCCTTTCCCGGATGATAATGCAACTCAAAGTCATAATCCTCTATAAACTCCATCCACCTCCATAGCCGGTCAGCCTTATGGACATGCCTTGACAAGACAAGCCTCCGGCAAACCGTTCAGGAATGGCAGATGGCAAACACTGTGTTCCTAGGCGCACCTATGCAAGACTTCTCAAGCCGACATATACAAATACACATGAAATATAAGCTAAGAAGCATGATCGGTGCAAAAATCGTGCTCAGTAGCTCGGTTGAGCGCACACAGGAGTGCCTGGGTAACCTAAGTCTGCAAAGTAAAAAAACAGGGGGGGTGATCCTAATCACTTCCCACGTACCCAAAGTATTCGAACTCGGTACGCTCTGATACCAAGTTGTAACGCCCTCAAAATAATAACATTAAACCCTCAATTGAGAGAGAGAAAAACTCTCAAGGG